ATTAAATTAGGAAAATAAAAATATTCTTTAGCATTTAGCGTTTAGCATCACCTCTTTAAATTTAAATACTTATGTTGGGAGGTGATTTTGTTTTTAAATTAATATATAGTATCAAAAATCCTTGTTAGATCAGATGCTACCTTATCAGTGCCATGCCTAGGCACAACTTATATACCCAATCAGTAGTGGATCCAGAAATTTGAAATAGAGGGGGCCCAGGGAGGGAACAATCCACACGTTGTGGGTCTGTACACCTCATCCCCAACACAGTTTTGGCTGAAGTGAGAAAATTTATAATTATTGCAATTCTAGATGATTGGAAATGGCACTCTCAGCACTCTCAAAATACATTTAAATATATTTTATTATTATTATTTTTATTATTATTATTATTATTATTATTATTATTATTATTTTTATTATTAATAGTTTTTTTTTAATAGTAATATAATTATTATTATTATTAAAATTGTTTCCTTGTATAATTTTCCTTTTTTACCTATTTTTTTCATTTTGAAAATTTTAGGTGGAGACCAGGGCAGCTGGACTCGCCTTTAAATCATTATATTTAGTTTTAATCAAAAACACACATGTGTTTTATAACCATAATTAATGCATAGAGTAATGCCGAAACATGTCTGTTGTACCAAGTTTTATAATAAAATTCATTATTCCTTGCATATATGGTATTGCGGTTGAAAATTATTGTGGTATTCTTAAGATGTATTTGCTGTCTGCTACTACACAGAATATTATTATTATTATTATTATTATTATTATTATTATTATTATTATTATTATTATTATCAATGTAAATATCTAAATACTATTAAAAATATTATAGGTCTAGAAGAAGTTAAAAAATATCAAAAATATAAAATATCAAAGCAGGTGACACATTCAATTACTTTTATGATTAAAATTAATTAATAAATTATCAGTATTTTCAAAGTTACCATGGTGAGGCTTAGGTGGTCAATCTGTAAAATTTTCTCTTTGGACCTTTCTTTTTATTCCTTTGCGAAGACTATTTTTCAACTGATAACATTAAAACCAACAACCAGTTAGCACTGAGCAGTCCAGTAAATCTAGTAAATAATGTAGTATTTAAGCCAGTCTTGAACTAGGAAGGGAGGGAGTGGGTAGGTGGGGGGGGGGGGCTTAGCCTATGCGTAGTTAGGTTGAACCTCTAGAATAAATCGAGTCTAGGCTATGCCTAGGGTCTATGCCTAGAGACCTATGTCTACATAGGGCTATATAATACTAGTCAGCCTTAAGCCTAATAGAGGAGGTTATTAGTAGAAATAGTGAAATCAAATAGGCCTGCACTAAGGTAATAGAACACCAGGGAGGTACTCTTAGGGGGACTCACTGTGACACTCAAAGTAGGGAGCCTTTTGGCAATTCTAAATACCTAGGCCCTTTACCCCTAAGCCAGAGGCCCGGCTTTTTCCCACACATGATCGAGCCACTAGTTGTTCATCTAGGCCTAAACTAGGTTATGCCGAGGACCTTGGTCTAGGCCTACCTAGGTAGACTGAACTTTAATGCTTTTTAAAGCATTACAGTTAATATAAGTCTAAAGTTTTAGAGGAAGACATGATATTCATACCTGTATACCTACTATTTTGAATCCAAAACACCATGTAAAAGTGTGTGTTTACAGTCATAATTCAGATGAAATCCAAAATGGCGTATTTAGAACTTGGTTTAAGAATCTACGCTGGTTCCCGGGGTTTGAGGCTGTTCCAGTATAGTAATTAAACTGTTGTTATCAGGTTGTATATATAATATTACAGGACGGCATAATCCAGATTAGGATTATATAACCCTCTCATATTGCATTTTACAAGAACAGTCACCAGTCCTATATATTCGAATATGATGACAGTAGAATAATGGGGTGGAATTTAAAATAATGTT